GTTCTCATTAATTTAACAATAAACTGGCAGATTTCGGAATTGTTTCTTTTGATAGTTTTTCTGATATGATCTACCAGGCATATATACAGCATGCAATGATGCTATGTATATGACATATTTTCAACAGATAAAACATGTTCTGAGTTGAAATGTATTTTTAAGAGGCTATACTACATGACCAGACCCAGACTCCCTCCTATTATAGTGGTTTATGGTGTCCATTGACTTAGCCCAAGTTGAAGTGGATAGGAAATATGTGGTTTGTGAACATTTTCATACAGATGAAGATCAAGAATTGTTTTCATGACAAAAATTAATATGAAGTAAAAAGAGACATTAACAACAATATTTTGAAATAAAAATTCAAAATAATCAAAAAATATCTTGAGAATTTTTTAAATTATAGGAAATGTAAATGAATTAATTTTTAAGGGTCCAAGATCATTTAAACGTCATTTCATTTTAGTTACCTGAGTGGAAACTAAATCAAATTTTATAAATTTAATTCAAAATAGTTCAGATCAATAAGCCAAATCTTTTAACACGTATTGGTCATTAAATAAATCAAATTATCTATTCTCTTTTAATCATTTTTGTACTATTTGAACAGAAATTGCTAGTGACAAAGCTTGATATAAGTTTTTCCAAAATATTTCTGATTTATGATACAAGGTAAAATTAAATATAACTAAGGGTACAAACTTTATAAAGCTTAAATAAAAGATAAGGTACTGTACTTCCCTGTCTGTTGTGTTACATTATTTTCATATCATTTGAAAAAACATCATCGAGATACATTTGATAGCCAGATGGCCAAACAGTTAATATATCCACCTACCACTCTGGAGACATGGGAATGAACCCAGATGGGTAAAAACCCCAAGATTCTTATTCGTCACCCATCTGCCCTACTGTTGGCCTGGCCAAACCCACAGTGGGCTTGAATAAAGGTCCTCTTAGAGCAAAGAGGGCAGAAAGAGTTAAAAAAAATTACCTAGACACATTTAAATTTTTATAACTTATTTTCAATTAAGTTATTAAAGCTAACCTAACCAACAATACAGTGTGTTTTGCTTGAAAATACCTGATTTTAATTCACCATAAAAAAATGAATGGTTTAAGATATATAAAAACAAAAAAATGGTATCTGGTGAGAAAACTTGTTAAGTTTATAGAGATTTTTTTTCATACTGCCAGATGGTGCAGAAGTTGAATGATGAGCATTATTGTCCAGTCATGACTTTGCCACAGGAGAAAGTGTAGGTCATAGTCTGGTATGTCTGATAGCATGGTTGCCAAGTTCTCCCAATCTGACTCCCTTAGATTTCTTTTTGTGGGGTTATGTTAAAAGTATGGTTTATACAACTTTGGTCAGAAACTTCAGAATCTTTGGGAGTGCATCATTGCAGCCATTGCAACTGTGAAACAGGATATGCTGCAGCATACATAGCAGGAAATTGCCTACTACCTTGATGTTATTGCTGTAACTGCTGGATTGCACATAGAGATGTGAATTTTTCTCTCATATAAAATCTTTATATCTTTAACCATTAATTTTTTCAAATCAAGTTGGATACTTTTGAGTAGAATGCCTTATATAACATCCTATACTAACCATTAGGGTTTATAGTGTAATATGATTATATACAACACAACATATGTAAATTTGTATAATTATCTACAATATTGACAATAAAAAATGACAGTGAGTTGGATAAATCTAAAACATTGTTCAAGAAATTGCAGGTTTTATTCCTGGCTTAACAAATAAACTTGACAAACTAGATTTAATGAGCTCTAAGAAGACTATAAATAAGATGTACCCAGATAACATAATTATAAGTGTTTGATATTAAGTAAACAAACATCTAGTCATAGTAATTTTTGTCTGTGACAACAGTCATATAAGGTCAAAACAGCTGTTCTGCTCATTCTTAAGAGATTCGATTAGCACCTATAATTAAATAGTAATGTAAAAGAACATGCTATTAAATACTTGCCACGAAACAAAGGATAAAAGCATATGACTTGCACTAGATAGTAATGTTTATCATTATTATTTATCAGAAAATTATCTAGAGATTATCTGTAATATCTCTTAGCTGAATTCAATGTAAAACTCCAAGAAATCATTAAAGTAAGAATAAATATTAAACATCTTGATATAGAAAGAATTAGCTTTCAGTGAAAGTTCTTTATGTTTTATCTATCATTAATCTAATAAAACTGGAATATTTACAATAACTAATGTACCTTTTAATTTTCCAACATTTGTTTCATATTTTAAAATAGTACTTTTGGTTCAGTAAACAGTATAATTATCCAAATGTAACATATCTTTCAAACAAACAAGTTTACTTGAACACATTCAAAATTAAAAAAAAAATACACTTTCAAACAAATAAATTAACAATCATATATTGATTTTCTTTTGAATTTTGAATGTTTACTTGTTAGTTTACTTGACAGAAGATATATAATCATTGACAAAAAAGTTAGTCTAATTGTTCATATAGCTGTATGCCAAGTTTTGCAGTAATTATGTCTCAGGTATGTATGTAAATGATTATGGTTGTGCTTTAATTGCAGCCAGTTAATATTACTAGAGTGCTTTAAAATCATTATTCCAGTATCCTATGAAAAGGCTCGGTGTCTAGAATTTTCAATGCACTTGTAATTTGGATGTCTTGAATGCCAGTTATACATATAAAAGAATCAAAAGACATTATTTATAGCTGACAATGTTTGAGAAAGAAGACATCATTGGGCTGAGAGAAACAAGATGGCTGTTTTGTCAAATTGCTTGCTGTATGGGATATTCTGACCTGACTGAGGAAGTATACACACGGCAGACAAACTCTGGACAGACTGCCAGGAGAAATAATCATCTGATCATCAGAAAAGCACAAACAGCTGCAAGGGCATTTTGTCCACCATCCAAAAACAAATTAGCTAAACAACTTGCAGAGACAAATTTGCATGCATCGTAAATGCTATGCATTCTGTTCATTAGCTCCTAATATTGTCAGTTTTCATTTGCGGTGATTCTATGACAGAGAAACGGGGATTAATTGCTATGATCTAGTAGTGTTCATAGCAGAGTCTTCAGTGATAAATCCTGGTTTTGTTGGAATCAGGTGAGTACTATGTTAGGAAGTAGTAAACTACTGATGATTGCTGAAGCACTCACCTCTGGTATTGAATGGCTCACTGTCTCATGCTGGTCGGCAGAGCAGTCTTATATGTTAGTCAGTCAGTCATAGTAGCGGTGCAAGAAAACATTGATAGCACAGATATATTTAGGAAATACAAACCTTCACATGTTGCTCTTCATGGCAGGACTGCAATTTCCAGCATGATAATGCTCAGCTGCACACAGCTAGGGTTTCCCAGGAATGTCTTTGCCACATCACCACACTTCCTTGGTCTGCCTGGTCTCTAGATTTGTTGTCCATCATACATTTGTGTGACCAGATGAGACCCCAGCAACAGCCATCTATGAGTGCAAATGATCTGGAGTGGGAGTTGCAACATCTTTGGTCAATTTATCACAGGATAGCACACAAATATCATAAAATAGAACCAAATTAAAATGATCAAAATAAAATTTTTCTATAAATTATAAATATGAAAATGTGTAGATATACTTATGTGATATAACAATAAAGCAATTTTATGATATTTGATTGTAACAATTAAATTAAACTTATATGAGAAAGTACATCTAAGGATATTGTTCCCATCAGAGTGATTTTAACACAAGACTGACTACTTAGAAAACAATTCTAAAAAATTATCTTTTACTAATAATAATGCATTTCAACTTATTTGGATCTTCTTCAGACTACAAAATAAAAAGTTTTTTTATATAAGCAATATTTAAAATACATTACAATTATAACAAAATGAACTTACTTTGACATATATGGTGTTGGCTTGTACAAATAAATTATCTTAATTGTTATCCATAGACCACTTCCTATCTTTTATTATAAAAAAAGAAAATGGAAATAAAGTAGTAAAGTAGTAGCAACTTTTGTAATAATTTCAATAATTTGTTATGTTTGAAAATGTTTGTTTTTTCGTGTTTCGCTCGTCACCGTGCTGTAATTGGTTCCGAGTGCGTCATTATCATTAATCCAGTGTGGTGAGTAGTTTAACTATAATTCCATAAAATCGTACTTACTACACCTTTGTTGTCCGGTACTTCTTAATTATTCGTAAAAACAAACATTTTCGGCCTCAGTCGAGGTCTGCTTCAGGTTAAAAGGACAATCGGATTCCATTCTTAGAATGAACGCTTAGTTTTAAAATATTCGAACTCATGCACATGTTACGTATCGTCATCGTTTTCTTGTTCTTCACATAAGTAGCGCCAAGCATAGGAAAGCATGTTGCCGTCTTTGGTGTTTATATATCTCCCTGTCTGGCCAGCTTTGTAACTTCTTCAAACATTTACCAATATGTTTTCTAAATTCATTTTTTTAATTTCATTCAATTTTTCCATTTTCCCTGGAATTTTAGAGTTGATTAACATAACAGTACAGTAATTTATCATATTCATATAATTTCAAATTCAAAAGGAAAAAAGTTTCTTTCATACCTTTATCAGCAATTGTAGCTGACTTTTCAAAGTTTTGCATTTGTCTTTAATTCTGATTGGTCTGTTGCCGTTTTCTAATGAAGCAAATGCTATTTTAAAAAAGATTTTTTCGATTAAATGCTACATCATCTTTTCTTTGATCATCATTAGTGAGTAAATAATCTCCAAATTCTGTTTTTTTTTTTTTTAGTCTGCTTTTTAGAGATCCCTTTTTGTGAGATTAGAATAATATTTTTACTTGATTCAGGAGTCACATTATCTATTTTCCATTTATTTACTGATAAGATGATGATATAAGATTTTCTATAATGATATATTTTCATAAATTTTTTAAGACTTAAATCATAAAATTTTATTCTTCAAATATCTTTATAAATTTTGAGTAATAGTTTGTTTATATATATATATAATGATTTTAACAAATTTGTTTTTCATATAGATAAAAAATGTCAAGTAAGAAATCAAAGTCAAGAATTCAACAAAGTAGTAGTGATTCTGATTCTGGTCCTGAAGATGTAAGTTTATTTTTAACATGTGATTATATAAATACAATATACCAGTTTATTAATTTATATCCATTTGACTTATGAATGAATCAAAGCTTTATCAGGAAAAAATACTGCAATTTCAGTTGAAATTTAATTGATACTAATTGTAATTTATATTTATAATTTGTTCTGAAAAATAATTTAATTCTGGCTTTATCTTAAGTGTGAGATATTTTTCTCTTAGTATGCAATGACCTGCTAGCTTAATCCAGTGGATCATTTGACAATGCTAATAGAATCATGTTGTTGTATGTTGTTTTTTTCTTATTTTCAAAGTTTAAATGGATCAAATGCTTAATACCAAATGTATAAAAAATTTTATAGATATATAATTATAAATGCAGTCTATAAAAATTGAATTTTTGAAGCAAAATTAAACCATAATTTACCGATACATAGAAGTAATATATGATTTTCTTTGCAAAAGTTAACTGAATGATTAAACATACTGTAGGTTAATAAAAATTATCAGTCAGAGTAAAGATTTCTTTGTATTAAAATTTTTAATAGAATAATTTTAAGAAATTTAATTGGATAGATTTATGGATTCTATTTCTAGTTATAATACCTTTTTTTCTAATTGAAAAGAAACTATCCACATTAGATTAGTTTCATTTTAATATGTTATCTTTATAGCATATTTTGCATGCTATATCACTTTAATATTGCATTATAAAATTAAAGAGTAACAGTAAAAAAAAAAAAAGTAAGAATTGCTGTCATCTTGGTTGAAATATTTCAATTTAAGCTACATATAATGATAATTTGATAAAATCTAGAATAACTTTCAGCATGTAATCTGTTATGTATTTTATAAAATAATTCTAAATACAGTGGTGTCTTCTACTTTGAATTTAATTCATTCCAGGAGACCATTTGAAGTCTTAATCAATTTTTCCTATTACAAATAATGGAAAGTGAATTAATTTATTCCCAGACCCTAAGCAATACCTATTTCACTTAAAACCAGCAAATACAAATAATTTAAGGTAAAGATAACACAATTAAATATCCTAATAATAAACTAAAACACGAAAACAATAAATAAAATATGTGAGTACTATACAGTAAAATGAAAATTGCATTTATTGGTCACACATGATTGACTTCAGCATCTTAAACATGGCCATCAATTCTGTCACACATGTATCACTTTCATGCTTCAGGATAAGTTCCTTTTTCATCTCAATCGTCTATATTACAACCTTCTTAGACTTCATTGTTTTCACATGCTTCTCAGATGCCATGGTTAATAAGTAAAGGTTGAATTGGGTTGAACAAAGTTTTTGCATATTTTTAGCAACTATTGTTAATTAACTTACTATAGATGTGTGATTTAATTATCACAGTTGTGAAATTTAACACATTATTGCTAATATGTGATTGTATTTTTTATTTACATTTTGTTTGAATAAAATCAATTTGATGAAATGTCTTCAGATAAATAATAATATCAGTTTTTTTTTTAAATAAAAAGTCCAGAAAAGTACTTACAAAAATTCAGAGAACAGAAATCAACTAGTGCACAAAAAAAATTATGTAAATGTGAGGCCTGGATGAAATTAGAAATTTGGTATTAAAACATTAACAAATATCTGATGGGACAGTTAAACTCTTGCCTTTTGTAAATTAAAACTGTCACAAAACTTAACAAGTACCCACCTGACAGTCTTGCAAAGACTATAAAACATTATTTGTCAGAAAGATAAACAAAAGGCTGAAATTACAAGGGATAGTATCCCTCTAAATTTTGAAATTACAATTCAAAATTTGGAGGGATACTATCCGATCGGTCTTGGGTTGAGCATCGATGTTGACATCTGAAAGATTTCAATTGTCACCTGGAGACAAGGGAAGACAATCAGTATTCACTATTTTACATTGCTTCTTTTTGTGTTTGTTCTGTGAAGTGTTCATTATTCAAACATTTCACGCAACAAACACAAGTTTGTTGTGGATATTAAGTAGACTATATATTAATATTCTAATAGCAGTTTTGATGAGTAGTATATGGTTATCCATAGTTTGAATATTGTGTGATCTTTCTGTTTTATCACTAATTCATTTTAATAAAAAAACTTTAGCATTTCTCTAATTCAAATACATAACATTTTACAGGAATATTTTCTTATTTAACAGATTTATTGTTTCATTATTACAGCGTCATCCACCACAGAAGAAAGTAAAAGTAGATAAGAAATCTGCTAGTAGTAGTGGAAATGCTGAAACATCAATGTTTCAGGTAAGTTTTCTTATTTTTAAAAAATTGAATATTTGAGATGATGTTTAATAATAACTATTAAAGTCAAAATAAATGAACAATTCCTTAATCTTATTACAAATATAATTACTGAGTTGTAAATGCTGTTAATTTATTACACATAACATACATACATACACACACACACAAATATTCCATGTACATGGATATAAATTAAATGTATATATCAGACATGGGCAAATGTGGCTCTTTTTGAGTTACATGTGACTCTTGCTGAAAGTGTTAATTTCTGCTTTTTATTATTATTTTTACAATTTTATTTCCACAGTTTTGTGAAAATATGTTTATTAAAAAAATTCAATATTTGTTTTATATTATATAATAAAATTGTGGTACAGTACTGCTGTACAGAATAAAAAAGTACAGAACTGCGGCTCCCATGCATTTTGCAAAACCTACATTTCTGCTCCCACTGAACTTCTGCTTGCCCACCCCTGGTATATATACAGTTTTGTATTGTTAAAAAACTTAAAGCAGTAATTATTCATCTAAATATATAAGCCATTAGAGATGCTGTTTGTATATCTGCCATGGTATGCCTAGAACGGCCCCTAAGGGTGCAATCCTAGCTATTATTTAAATTAACAATAAATTCAGTATATTATTATTTGATGCAGTTTTTTGCATTTTTGGCTGCATTTTATTAGGGTACGCCATGAGAAATGCAGTATATTATTATTTTTATTTGTAATAAGAATTTATTCTTTATACCACGGAGTGACACCGCTGCTGCTAGAACGCCCACTAGGGGGTGTCCCAGGCTACTAGAATACTAGAACAGAAGGATTTGAAGTATGAAATAATCTAATAATCTTAATCTGTTTTGTTGTTTTTTGCTCGGGTAACGCTGGATTCATCTGCTGGTATTATATATTGTGTTAAGCAGTATATGGCTGTTGTCCGATAATGTGTGCAATATTCTTGGTACTGTACATAGTAAATGGAACTCTGAGTAATTTTTTTAAACAAAAATTACATCAAGTTTTAGGAAATTTTAACTGGTTTACAGTAAATAGTGGTGTTTTGGTTTTATGTACATCAATAATAGAGTAAAAATTGCTGTAGAGAATAGAGAGGTTGCGGCTGTCATATCCAGCCCAAAACATGTACGGCAGACGGTTGAGCGCCGCCATCTGGCAGTTCTAGGCGGTCGATAACGGTGTTTACTACGTGTAGCAAGGTGAGTAGACAATCGGCTTAAATGTCTTCATTTTTTCTGTTTGGGGTTAAAATTATGATTTATTTTGTTAAAATAATGATTATTTAAGAAGTTGTGAATAATATTTTAAAGAAACAGATGAATTTAATTCATAAATTATTTAATTCAATTTTTTAGCAAGTGATGTAGAATTTACATATATTTGTTATCATAATAGCTTATCTTAAGGTAGATTTGTTCTTCAATGGTATCTTCTACCATCAACAGTGTAATGCATTTGTAAATTTTCTAAACATTAATTTTCCGAGCTGCTTTCGAATTTGCATTAGCCACTACTTTCCTCGACAAAAGTATGAGGTAGTCCTATCATCTGATCGTATGGTAGGAGACACCACGCTAATTAAAAATAATTATTTAGTGTTACTAAACATCCTATAAACACTTTAAAATAGTTTAATTTGTTTATTTACCTTTGCTGATAACATTTGTTGTTGTTAAATGTTTCTGCCATTGTAAAAAATAGATTATTTTAACTCAGNATTTGTATCAAAATATAAATTTATAAAAGCAATTATAATTATAAAATATGCATTCAATTTCAGTTGAATTTTTCTTATTGAATATATTCAAGCAATCTTTTATAGTTGTATGGCTGATGTTCCTGATAAAAGAAAACATCAACTAGAAGAGGAAAATAATTTTCTGTAGTCTTCTAAGCAAGTACAGTCGACTCCCTATAACACGGTAGATAATTCCGTTTTATATGAATTCCATGTTGTACGAGTCATTTAGATTTTACAAATACGTGTGCTGTTACAGCCCAGCACACGTATTTGTAAAATCTAAATGACTCGTACAACATGGAATTCATATAAAACGGAATTATCTACCGTGTTATAGGGGAGGGTCGACTGTAATTGTTTATTATATGTAATATAACAAATCTCACACAGCAATCTTCACAATAATTAATAAATATTTATTATGATAATATCACGTGGTTCTGTGATAAATATATATATATATTTTTTAAATCTGAAAAAGCAATGTTTAATGTTCTAAAAACATATGTTAAACCAAAACTACGCTTATTTGGAGGCAATTCTCTTCGGTGTTTTTCTTCTTAACGCGGTTAATTCCTAGTTTTTCGATTCTTGTTTAAAAATTGAATTTTCAAAAATTTCAGAAAAATTATTTAAAAGTCCAGAATTAGTCCAATAAGTATAAAATAACTATATTGTTATTAGTATAATAAAAATTTTCATATAGGATTCAATTATAAATTTATTCTAAAAATAACAATAAATCCGATCGATTATATTATCCCTTAAACAATAGAAATTTTTATTTCTTTTATATCTGAATAGAAATCCGAAAATAATAAATTGTCATTGAATAACAGAATGAATGAATATAATTATATTTTATTTATTTTATTTTTTTACTTATTGTTTCTTACAAAATAAAGAATATATTTGTAGAGGTCGCTGCGTAGATTGAAAAGCGAGCGAAGTCGTTTGGCGAAAGTTTTGTATGAAGTTAGGAGATATTAATTGGTTATTTTAATTAGTTCTTTTATTAATTTAAGTGTAACAATTAATTAAATTATATTTTAGTATTCGTAAGGTAAAGAAGGATTGTTTTTTTTAAATCCAAATAAACTTTATTATTCGGATTAATTACATTTTATAATCTAAATACGCAATGTGCTTATATCAGACTCTTGTGTCATATGTAAAAATACAGCCCTTTGTTAACTGATGTAATTTTATATTTTTCTATTCTTCGTTTAATTCCAATTATTTTGAAGATTAAAAAAAACCCCATTAGATGCATTTAATTGTCTTGAATTTTTAAACAAGTGTTTATCTATTAAATATTTCATTTATTTATAAAATATGATATATTAAAGTTTTAATAAAATGTCTGATTTTGAAAATACAGGTACTACAAGTTAACTTATATATAATTTTTTTATTTTTATTTTCAGCTATGTAACTTTATTCTGTATTCTTAAATATAGATAGATATACTTTACAAATAAAAATTCTTTTCTTTCTGTATGTACTCGTTTTATTCGCGCCGATGTTTGAATCCGTTCGTCATTCTAGTAAATTCTAGTAATTATTCTTTCTCGGCTATCTTTTATACGTAATTGTAATAAAAATCTTGGAATTATTTAACAATACGCTTTAGTTACAAATATAAACATCTTAAAGCCAAATGATTGTTGGATTATATTGGGCTATATTATTACTTTTACTACTGTTACTATGTTCCCCCAAAAATAAGACTGAGGCCGTATTCAGTACTTCAGAATACCTAAGTTAGAATTCTGAATGGCTTAGTGGGCAAAGCTAAGAATATTCTGAGCATCACTGAATGACTCATCTTAGACAACTGGGCAAAATAGTAGACAAAGTTAAAATCGTGATTGCAACAACTGTCGCAAACGAACTGGTCGAAAAGGATGAAGTAACCAATACGATTATTCAAATGGAAGCTGTGTCAGATCGTGATGATTGTAATTAACAAAATGGACCGCTGTCTTCCATTAAAATGTATTCGGAATCTCTTATACCGACGTGTGATAATTTTACATTTTGAAGTCATTTTAGAATGAGAGAATAACTTGGTGATGGTTATAATAAAATATGTTTAAACCAAATACGTGCAGCCATCTTGCAAATTCTACGACCAGACAAAAACAATGATGTCACTAGTAGAAGTTAGCATAGATAAAAGAAGCTGACTGAACTAGCTAAAATTCTAGCGGTGGGAGGAGCCGAGTAGTAATTAGAATTGAGTTCAACATCACAGCATAACTAGACTTAGCAAGAATTCTGCGTTACTGAACACAGCCCAGGTCTTATATTAATTTTTGCTTCAAAAGACTTGTTAGGTCTTGTTTTCAAGGATGTCTTGTTCGAAGGTGCTTGCTTGGATATTTGCAAATACTTAATTATAATTTAGATTACCATTTATTTTAATTATTAATGTCAATAATAATTATTATTTATATTTAATTATATATTAATACTGTTATTTTATAATTCAATACAGCCATTGTGGGTTGCAACAGATGTATTAAATATGACTAGCTGGCTGATGATCTTAACTGGGTCTTATTTTCTGGTTAGGTCTTACTTTTGGGGAAATACGGTACTAGTAGTAATATGACCTGTTATAATCTGGCAATGACTTTGGTTTGGCTTTAATATACATTTATGATTTTCAATGTTATATAAAAGTAAATGTAATTGAAAAGAAATAAGCATAGTTTGGTTTAAATGCATTTGGGTTTAATAATCTGTTCTTGGACTAATTAAACTAGAATAATTGTAAAGAAATTTCAAGCAGAATTTGTCAAAGTTTCAAATAGAATATGTATCTAATCAATTCTGAACTTAAAAATTTTTGTTTAAAACTGTCTTGAAAATGAGTTACTAATCCTGTAGAAGTCATATGGTATTTTCCAGATGCCGTAATAGTAATCTAATACAGTTACATTTTTCCAAATGTAACTATATTGTCCAAGTTAGATTTTATTTAACTTGGACAATATCCTATAATAAAATACTAGATAAAATTCAAGTTTTCCAAATTTTGTCTAATAGATGACCTTAATTATTAGAAAACTATGCTTTTTTTATTGTAACAAAATATACAATTTAAAAAACATTAAAAAGTTAATTTCTAAAAAATTTTGAACATTTTTTTTTAAACTAAAAATAACATGTATACAGACATTTATATATTTTTAATAAACACTAGAAATTAATAAGTTGAAAATATAATAAAGAATAGAGAACAATACAGTACTTTGAGTATCAATACTATATGAAATTTTTATTTATAAATGTTTTTTCTATCATTACTTTAAACAGTGCCAAAAGTTGCATTAATGGTAAATCAATTATCTTATGTTGGTGAAGTTCTCTTTTAAATTGGAATGTGAGTAAAATGTTTATTATCTTGATACATATTTTTTGTACAAAGATATTCCAATTGTTTTGCACATGATTTAATCTGTACTATTGAAGGGCCAATTACTTTGATTCTATTAACTTCTAAGATTTGTCTAGTTTCATGCTAAAAAATAGTATGGTTTGCAGACTAGTTCTGGTCTGAGCTTTCAGCTACTAGTTTTCAGTTTCCACAAAAGAAAACACCGTATTAAATGACACTAATTTTCCAAAGCATAACTTATAATGGTAATTGTCATACTGCTACAATATATATACACATTTTAATAAGTAGGTAGTAATGTGAGTACCTCAATTTAAATTTAGTAAATAATATGGCAGAAATATGTACTGATTTGACACATTTAGAAAAATAACCTGTTGGTTATATCAACTAATTGAGAAATATTAGTTGGACATGGAGTTATGACAAGATATATTTTCATACTTTATCAGTTAGTATCCTTAGATATGATAGAAGTTCAATTTTACATAGAAATCTTTCAATGAAAAGTTTTATTTATTTTCAGCTCTAAAAAAATTTCTTTTATAACATGCAGTGTATAATATCTTTGCAGTGTGTTAATTCTAAATTTTTATTTATAAATGTTTTTTTCTACTGTTATGCAATTATACTCTTGGGTTCATTTTAATGTTCTGTTGTTGATAATTTTGGAAGTATTTTGAGTGTATATATATATCAGTTAGTAGTTGGTAACATCTTTTATGATATTTTGTTTACAAGAATTATTATTGATTTTATTTTAATTGTATTCTTGAAATAATTTTGCTTCTGTCAGTTTGTCAGTATAACAGTTAAGCTAGATATTTAGTGCAGAAACAGACAATGGAAAGTGATGACAAACAAAAAATGTCATAATTTTTCTACCGGAGTTGATAAAATATGCAATAGAATATGGAAGTTGAAAAATTTTAACTTTTTCTGTGTCAAGCAAAAACAAACATTTCAGTCAGTGAGAATCTAGAACAAGAGGAGAATGGTTATGATGTGCTAATTGATCCAGAATGAGATAGTTGTGCGATTTGGATAATTGCCTACTTTATTATTAGAAAGAAGCAAGGTATAAAATAAAGTAGAAGCATAATACTATCTTAAGTAGATATTTACTGTAGAAAAGATTCAAGTGCAATTCTGAAACCAAACTTTTGGACAACTTTTTGTATGGCTATTAAATATTTTTCAGAATTAAAAATTCATGTTTTTCCTTGATCATAAATTTAAATGACAAGCGAAGCTGATATAAAGCCAAATTTTTCACAAACACTAGTTTCATTATCTACAACTAATTCATAGTCCTTGACAGAATTTTTATGTATAATACTGTTAATACAGAACAGAAATAGACTTGTTTTGATTTTTTGTTTCTATCAACATTTTCCATTATCTATTTCTGCATCTAAGTATTTGGCTTTGCACTGGTATATTTCTTTTAAAAAACTGTTGTTTCTCTGATTTGCTTCTTATATTTTTTCCTTTCTTAGATCTGGTTAGCTTTAGTCATTTATTTATACCTTTAGTATGGATTATTTACAACACAATCACTTTTTAAATACAAGTAATAATGTTATAAATTATTCTATATTATTCTTAGTTTAATTGCTTTTTTTTCCTTGAAATGATATTTTGAATTTTTATATGCAAATTACATTTTTTCTTCTAAATTTTAACTATGGTGCTGTTCATTAAATTTCTTAGCAGACTATATATTACATTCTTAGAAAAATTATATAAATATCTTTGTAATTTTCAAAGTGGTTTTCATTATATTGCTTTACTGCATACAAACTTACTTGATTGTCATAGTAGCCTGATCAATGTCATGTGTAATTGTTTGTTATAAAAACAAATATTACATAGATCTATAATTTCTCAATGTTTTGTAGCAATTTAATTTTTATTTACTTATTGAAGGTAAAAATTAAAGTAGATATTTTAATTATTAAAAAAATATTTATCGGATTTATCAAATCTTTTTATTATAAATGAGATTAAAATATAACAAAGCAATGTTTTAGCTTGCAAAAGATTACTCATATTCTATTTCAACAATATTGTAATTTAATACTTTCGTATAACAAGAAAAGAAATTAAATTGTTTGTTTGCCTTATTTACAAGTTATTTGTTTAGGTAATATTTCTATATAAAGTTATACTTTCAAATAAATTTGTTACATTAAAATGACAAAATATATTATTTTCTGTAAGTAAAAATTTAACATGTTATTCTACTAATTATATTTAAACCATTGAAAATATCTTTAATAACAGAATTTAAAAAAAAAAACAATGAACATTTCAGAATCTATTAAATGATTTTATGAAATAAACTTTGTGTTCTGTAGGATTAAACTGAAAACATTTGAACTAACTTCAGTAATTATTTTCTCTAATATGGCAGGTTTAAATAATTTTGAATTAAAGAAACTATTATATATTTCAACTATATAATTTTATTCAAGAAGAATTATTATACATATACATGCACCTATTAGATTTTTGTATATATTATTTGTATCTGATTGTGTGTGTTGCATTGTAATGCCTTGTTTAATAATCAAAATTCTATAAG